TGAAAAAAACACAAGCCATAACAATCACGTGCTAGAAGTGGGGAGCACTGTTAACAGATCAGCTGTTGCATTATTCACAAGCTTTAACTCCTGTACTGATTTAATAAAGAACGCTTTACAGTAATCGGTTCCCAAAGTGAAACTGATACCCAGATTATGACAGGAGGCTCCACATCCAAGAACTGTCAGCTTCCAGACCAATTTGTAAAAAAAAAAAAAAAAAAAAAAACACCTTACACTACAGATATCCATCATGAGATGGGGGTGCAACCAGTTGTTTTATTAGCAAGAAGCTTTCTTCCTTGCACTAGCAGAGAAGTAAACATCTTAAACACTTACTAGTGCCCCCATCAGAATCATCAGACCCACCACCACTACCTCAAACTGGAATATGGCTGAGAGCTACTGAACAGACAGTTTCTCTATCACTTCATCAGATGTCCAAGAGGTACTATTTGGATCAAATTATAACACAAGGAAAGGAAGCAATTCCAGGTGCTCCTGTCTCTTTAAATGTGACTAACTACTTTAACTTTTTACATACCTGGATATTGATTGCAATTAAAAAGACAGAGCTAGTAAACACCAGTTTTAAGGAAGAATGAAAAATTCTCATTTATCAGATTCAACAAGGATTAAATTGATTTCTGTTTTAGGTTTGATGTCACTGTTTCTAGTCCAGTTTGTCTTCTCTCCTACATACTTTATGAAAAAAATTTTAATGATTTTTCACTTCATATACTGAAGGTCAGATTTTTTTTTTTTTAATCTAATGAAATACTGGAGTTACCTACCTACCTATTCTCTTCTGAACTCTCTTCGCTTCCCCTTCTTTCACTAGTCAGTGTTTTTCTACCCCTGCTTTCCACCACAGCTAACAGCAAGCAGTTTCCAGTTTTGAGGCCGCACGAATAGGAATTACTTTCCTAAAGTTTCACGGCCTAATGACAGCAACAGAAGCTCTGAAGCAGGGAAGCTCCAGATAAATTCTTATTGGAGATTGCACACATAAATACTATTTAGCAGCAGTGTTTAACAACAGCAAAGACCCCAAACCTGCTGAAGCTTAGACAGATTATAGAGTTTCCACTCCTGCCTCGCAAAGGGCATGCACCAACACTAGAGTTCTACTGCACTGAGAATGAGCATGGCTTATTTCATCTCTTCTTCATCCACAGCAACAGCTGCAATGGAAAGAAAGAACTGGCTACCTTCTATCTCTTGTTGACGGCTCTTCATACCTCCAAAGATGCTCCTGGTAAGCCTTGAGGAGAGCAGAGCAGCTGGAAACCAAGTAAAACAGATGACCAGCCTGCCCTCCAAAAGCCCACTTCACATCAAAGTATATAAATGTCTTCTTTGAACTATTAAGTGTTAAAGGACCAGAGACTGACAATTCTACTGGACTTCAGGATTTTTCTGTTAGGCAGCATGAGAATTTTGTTGGTCAAACACTAGTATTTTTCAATTCTATAATTGCATTCCATTCATCAGCATTTTTTGCCCCATTGCTTTTTAAGTCAAGATGCATCTCAGCATTGTTATCTAAATTATGAGTGGGATGTAGGCTTTCAGAAAACTGACTCAGTTTTAAGTAGGGCGCACACTTTTAAACAAGTAGGCATCTATATTTGTCCTCTGAAGCATCCTTCAAAACAAATGAGGCATAGCGCAACCATGTAGGCTATGATCTGCCAAAAGGCCACTATTTCTACAAATGGTGTATTTTAGAAAGTAATGATGAGGTTTGAAAAAGCAGAATGCAGTTTTAGATGTTGTTCCTTTGTTGTAATAAAAACTTTGCCAGCAAGCTATTTTTGTAAGAAGTGTAACATTTGCTTTAACCTTTCCAGTATATTCTAAATGTACAATCAGGCTATTTCGGTTATATATCTAAAGGATAAACTAGAAAGACTTCTAAAAGTTTTTCTAGCAAACTTTTTCTAGAAGGTTTTCCTGTGTGACTACATATATCGTAAATTAAGATAAAACATCTAAAAAGTCAGACTCTTTAGCGGCACTGAACTAAGGAATGTATTGGTTTTGTTTTTTCTCACAAATTTGCTATGTCCAGAAGTGCTGTCTTTTTAAAGAGATTAGCAAAGTGGAACAACTCCTCCCGTTCTGCTGTTCAAATCTGTGTCGATTCCGGAAGAAAGTTTAAAGGCAGCACAATATAATGTCAAAGGCCTTTAGAAAAAAAGTCTTTTCTTTGTACAGAACAGTTAGACTGAAAAGTGTCACAAGTCAGCACCCAGAAACATTTCTAGCACTAGTAACAACATTTCGTGATGTTAGAACAAAATCAGTCTTTATATTTTTCTACATGCGCTTACTAAGTACGAAGTAAAAGTTCATTGTGACACATTTAGCAAGGAACCAAAGAGTAAGCTCTCATTAAATAACGAGACAGTGCAGAGCCTTAAAACCTGAAGCAAGTAGAAGCTCCCAAATCTGCACTACAGTCATGTAATTTTCCTAAACAGTTATCATTTGGGATGCAAAGTTATGCTGATTGTCCAACACCACTCCACATGTAATTCTGAACAATAAAACAATACCAGCATCTACGCTTGTGACAACTACAAACTAGGCTTGGCATTAACAATAATGGTGAAAAAGACTGTCTAGAGAAGAACAAATGGGAACAGAGGCGTCAACACACACACTCATTCAAAATCCAGAATGCTTTTTTCCTTGAGTGAAAAGGATTTTCTTTTGTTTTTTGTTTTTTTTTAAAAACTTTACAAGCTACAGATACAGCATGAAAAGTAACATACTAATACACACCCTGGTGCGGCCCTTCAAATTTCCAACAGACATTTATGACAAGACAGAGAATTGTGGTAACAGCTTTCTGCGTAACCAGGAAACGGTTGAGTCAAGAAACTCTCCTCTGAGCTCTCAGGTGTCATACCTGAGAGCAAGTTACTGGTCAGCTATCTGCGTTCCTTCTCAGCATGTGTAAACCTAATTTCAATTGTTGCACCCCCTTTTATGCTTGTGGCTTGTT